CATTAAGACAAAAAAAGATTGTTTGTTTTGTTTATTTGTGATTGATGGCTGCACATGCAACAGAGAACAAAAACAGGCTAATTTAAAATTCTGGTGCACTTGTTTGGTTGTCCATGAAACATACAAATTTTACTTTACAACAATAATTATAAAAGTTCCAATACCAGACATGAAAAGCTATTTTTCAGTTGAACCAGGACAAGAATAAACCCATAGGAACCATTTATGGCTAGATCATTTGCATATTTTTGTGTTGTAAAAATTAAAATTCAGCATTCCTGCATGCGTAATTAGCAATGAATTTTAGAAACTACAGCATCTCAGAATTTCGTTAGATTGAAAAATCTTTCAAACTTTTGAATGGTGAAAGTTCCAACATATGCAGTAATATCGACTTCTTAATTCTTAATTTGAAACATAAATTCACTATTTATTACGCATGTATGAATACTGAATTTCGAAATCTTACTAACGAAAGCTAGAAAGTTCGATATGTAAATGATCAATCCATTCATGGAGTCTTGAAGAAGAAGAAAAGTTAAGTTTATTGGAGTGGCAAGATTTCTCAACAAAATATAACTCGCTTTCCAAAAGTTTTTAAAAATGAACCTTACACTGAATTGCATTAAAATAACATTCTCATGAAATTAGCGAGACCAAGCAGTTGTTAACGTGTTTATATGTTTATATTTATAGCTAAAACTTTCAGTATTAGTAGAGAAGTGAACTATCGCAATTCGCTGTAAACTACTGTTTTCCCGCCGAAAATAAAAAGAAATGGTCAAAGAAATGAGCTCAAAGTACACCCTGGGTGAATATTTTTTTACAAATCTACAGACAGATTCAATTGTTATTCTCACTTACGATTTTGTGCTTGTTGAGTTGGCCATAATATGCGTTTAGCTAGAAAGAAGAGTAACTCACAAGTTAGGACGAATTTAAGGCAAAAAAGAACAGGTAAATCGAGCTAAAAAGTCACCTGTATATTATCAATGAAATCAAAAGTAATATTTCAAAAAATAGAATTTTTTAGAGGTCACAAAAATGACAAAGACAGAAAACTAACACTCACGTTTTCACCACAACAGCAAACACCCGCTCTTCACGTCTCCGACGTTCCCGCGACGGCTGAGAAGTTGGCTAAATCATGCGCAGTAATGCATGGAACATGACTTAACCTCCGGTCTAAGTCGCCGTCGCCCCGAAAACGCCCATTGCTTAAGTTCCCTAAAAGTGTATACGTGACGCGTGATTAAGGCCAAAAAATAATATGTGATGAGTGAATTTTTTACAGGAAGGCGCGTGTAAATCGAATATACATACATAGATACATCCTTTATCGACTTTTCCCGAAGGGGCTTTTCAAGGACAATAATTAACACAAAAATTAAAATAAATAAATAACTTATAAACTTCAATTAATTACAAATACATAGATTGCAGACGCCTCAAGATGTTGAACGAAGAGAAAGTGGCTCCATGTTTTGTGAGACAAACCATTTCTTCAAGTTCGAACGAATCGAGTAGAAAACATGAAAATATAACGCTGAAGAGTACCATGGCCAAATAATGAAATTCACTCCCCCCGCTGCAGGATCAACACCACTTTACCCGTGAGTTTGTTTGCTCCTCACATTTGCGCTCGGTAATTTAATTCTCAGATGTTTGACGGGTTCTCACATGACAATGTTTTCAAAATCAAATTACCGTTTCAGACTTAATGTAAATATGAACGTCGCTGACTCAATCTCATTGTAATTCAATTTTTGGAAACGCTATTACTTCGTTCTTAGAGTAAAACAACAAACATTCGACAAAGCCCAATTTTTTTAAATGAATAATGTAAACCTTGC